AAATAAAATCATTCATTCATTCATTCATTCATTCATTCATTCATTCATTCATTCATTCATTCATTCATTCATTCATTCATTCATTCATTCATTCAACAAGGAAATGACTCATGTAAATTTGAATAGTTCAGTGTTTACATTTTTGGGGGCTTTTTTAAACTAAAATGGCTTTACCAATTACTTAATTTTTCAATTTTTTAAAAATATTTCTAACATGTAAAAAAATATCAGTCAATAAATAACAGTTGATCATAATATTATATACTGTAAGCGTCTATATATTAAGCATTATTTATAATAATGCTTCGAGTAGGTTTCGTGGCTCTAAACAATTTTTATTCAGCTGGAGTCAGAGGAAGGTAAACTAATAGGGAATTATCAAGAACTATATATTCAAAATATGCAAAGCTTATAATGTGGTTTTAAGAAATAAGTATAACAGCCCAGTCCAAAAGTGCAAAAATATTGAGCATTTTTGTAAAAGCCACATRATGTGTTGTTTAATCACTTTAGAGGCCTTTAAGCCTAATGGTAAAGTCAATACAGAGGAGTTCCATATTGGCCTCCAGATGGCGCTTGTCTGCATTTATTGTTGTGCTTTCAATTAATATTCTAGTGAGTGAAGAGTTGAAGTGTGTAACACACATACAGTATGCTAAAAGGGTGAAAATAAATGGTGGCATAAAAGAAATAATGTAATGTACCAGCAATCCACCTTTTCTTCAATGCATATATATGTAGTTAAATATGAAGGTTTCCTTGGGACAAATTAATTTAAAGTGAAAAGAATAGTTTTTGCTTCATTTCTTTGTGTTTTAAACAAGTTTCTTCTTTCTTTGTGAACCAGCACTGTGACCTGATAATGTTGCTATCAGTGGTATCGATCCAAGCTGTTCCTAAACAAAAGACGTCAACGGCCCGCCGTACCTCCTGACAGTAGGACAGGATTTCATTGGGGTCCTTGAAGCAGCCCTGGCGGCCCTGAGGATCCGGCTCCCACTGCCCACTCTGGATGTTCATGTGCAGGAGCTGACGGCCGCAGAACATAGCGATCTGTGGTTCGGCCAGCTGGGGGCCCGGTCCGTTCACCTCGGCCATKGCGAGGGCCTAGAGAAGCACAGAGAGGTGAGAGGGGATGAGTTAATATGTCCACATGCACACACACACCCTTTTGTTCTTCTATCCTCATAGGCCCTTTGCATTGACTTCCATTCAGTTGACGATCATTTCTATAACCAACCACCCCAGTACGTACCTAACCCTAAAACTAGCTTAAACTYAATTCACTTGTTAGCCAACCCAAAACCAGCCTTTAAACTCATGGGGTCTGGGCTTTTGTCCCTATAAGGAACAGTGGGTCCTCACCAGGCCATGTGTACTGGGAAAATGGTCAATAATCGGCCCAACCAGGTAACAAAAGCATGTACACACGCACACATACACACACTCACATAGTGGTGGAGAATATTGAGTCTGAAGCTGATCCAGGACAGATAATTCCTAAATGCACTCCAGCACTATCCAACATTAGAAGCGTGTAAGTGCAAGAAGGAGAGGGAGTGTGGGATAGGGGTGGGGGTGGGGGAGAGATCGAAACGGAGAACAGAGAAAGCAGAGGAAGCTAATGCACAGGAGACTCAGCTGCAGGGCTGTTAGCTTTAAGAGAATCGTGGCAAACCTAAAAACGTAAGGAACGAACGACGAATGACGCAGAAGGCACAAAATATACACGAGGACGTAAAAAAAACGCTCGCTTTTAACCCAATTCCTTTGTGTTCTCCCCCTGCAGCCTTCTAGAAAGCTGTTATCGATTGGGGGATGTGTTGCATCTGCCTGAACGTAGAGGGGTGGGGGGTGGAAGGGCCCAGGGGACCCCACACAGAGCAACAAACAGCAGCCAGGGCTGGGAGTCAGGTGTTAATACAAGCTCATTGACCGATGTGCCACTTCACTACATTAACACACGGCTCAGAGAGAGAACCAAGGGAGGAATAAAGGAAGGGAGGGGTCGGGTAGATCTATAAACACCACAGACGACGACTTACTTTACTTTAACAGACAAAACGGAAAGAGCCATCTGGTGCCACGAAAAAAAGTGTTTATGTTTTATCAGATGCCTGAGTCATCTTTGGTAAAACATGTCTTCTTTAGGTTGTATTTTTAAAAAAATACCTGTGTTTCTTGGTACAATAAGGTACGATCAGTTCAATCATCCAAGCCCAAAACCCTCCCTTAAAAAAAGGGTCATTTGAAACCCCGGGAGCACTTTGAATGGCTTATGTCCTTTCATCTGGGCTGACGGACAGAGAGACCGATTGATGGCAGACAAGACAACCAACTCAGCGCCAATTAAAAACAAGATCCCCACAGGGAAGAATTCGATGAGAGGAGGGGAAAAAAATATGAGAGAGTGACGCATGATCAAAGGAAAGCCCCGTTTGGACCGAACATAGCCAAAAGTGTTTGAAGTCCTAATTAAAATTCATACAAGATAAAATAAATATTTAAAGCCCTCTGAAAAAACTGCACAATAAATAAAAGCCCAGAGCAGCGAGCTCATTCTAATTACACTAAAAGGAGTTTGTGTTTCTGCATGCCTAAGCAGATTTTCTGTTTTACAAAATATTTTCCATAATGACTGACCACTTTCAAAAGCTCACCAGAGACTTTTAAATTTATTATTGTGCTCACTATTAAAACAAAATGTTATTTACTCAAAAAACTATTTACTTACTACAGAAGACACCCTTTTAAAAGATTTATTCATGTACATTATGATTCAGATCTAACTTAATAAAATACTGACTGAAAATGCACTTTCCTTGCTTTAAATAAAAACAAAATGTTATTTCCCTTTTTTATTGTGCAGTTTTTCCTTTTTTATTGAGTGAAAATGAATAAAATGCACCTTTCTACATATATCTTTTGCATGTTAAAACACTTGCAGTCAATAAGACTGCATAAAAATAATAGAAAGAACATTGTTTTCAAATAGAAAACATGTTTAAATCTGATATGTCATTATATTTAAATGTAATTTATAATAATATATTCAAATGTTATTTAAGAGAGAGTTAGAGAGGTTTGATTCTTTTGTTCTGTTCTTATCGCCAACAGTTTGTTTTTCAGTGGGAATATAATGGCGTTTAAATGTTAATTAATAAAACTCTTCTCCTAAACAAATTTATTTATTTAGTTATATTTTGTTAAGAGAGAAAATTCTTATAATCTTAAAGGACTTGAGATGTTCATTAAACCAAAAAATCTGAACAAATTTGAAGGACCCATGTACGTCCGTTCAAGGAATAAGATTGTGGAATAATCTGGAAAGTGATTACAAAAATGCTGGTTCAATGTATTTATTTAAGAAAATTATAAAAATAAATTTGTTTAAGAAATATGAAATTGTATAATGTATATCAAATGTTTGAGAAGGAATTGAAGGTTTTATTTTGTTTTTTAAATGAAATAAATAAACTAATAAACTAAAAACTAAACTATTAATTAGTGAAAAGTAAATCAAAGTGAAAAACATTCTAAAAGTTGAAGTTTCTAGGGGGGCAGGGCATGGAAAACTATGGGAAACCCTGAACTATAGATAACACAGAACTGCAATTCACCACTCAATAAGACACAATGCATCATCAGTCCATGCTTACTGGTTATGGTTGTCTTTACTCTGGTGTTATTGAAAGTTTATCCATGGGATGGTCAACCTGTAGTCCAAGTGATATCAATCACCAAGACAGTGTGGGACGACATGGAGACTTGTCGAACACGTGTCTGGATTGCAGGCACAAATGTTTTTGGGTTTTACATCACGTTACAACGATGCTCCGTTGGTGTCATCCATCTTGAGTGAGCTGAGAGTCATCAACACATACTCCAAACACTAAAACGTTGGGTGAAACGTCCTTTAGTAGCAAGTATTTGTCACCATTTTCTGGTGAAATTGATAATAAGTCTTTAAAAACATGTTACAAGTTGGACTTTGGACTGACATGATTGCCCTCTGACTCTCAGAGTCATGATTTTGTCACATCTGATAAATGTGTGGCTGAGAAACTTCTACATCCGGCCCAGTGTGGTGCCTCCAATACCATTCCATTTGGTTCTAACAGCAGGCCACTGTGACATCATTACATGCCATGTGATGGACAGTTGCACAATATAAACACCTGGCTTCATGCAAAACAGAGGTGTACAGTAACTAAGTACGCTTACTTTGTTACAGTACTTAAGTACGGTAATTGTTTTTAGGATTTGTAATTTTACCAAGTATTTTTTAAATCTTAACTTTTACTTTTATTTTATTAAATTCAAAACATAAAAATGATACTTTTACTTCTTTACTTTAAAATTGAACACTTTCTTTTAAGTACTTCACAGTCCTCTGATGCAAACCCACAATGCGACCCCTATCAAACTTTGCCAGTCCAGGTGTTAAGGCATCCTTTACGCTTGGTGACTGTTTTTGCCTGCTTGTCGCTCCACTTGTAAACCCACCACTTGTGTCCTTCCTCTGGTGCCTGTTTCTAGATGTGCCAGCACTGTGCAAACTGAATCATTTACAACGTATACCCTCAAAAGGTTTAAAGGCTTAAAACATTTGTGGGTATATGCACACAAGTGAATTTCTTCAAAGAAATAAAGTAATTAACTTGAAAAGATGGGGAGTTAGGGCAAAAAAAAAAGAGTTACATTCGCTGTAGCCTGGCCCTTGCCTTCCTACACAGTTCCGCTCAACTCTAGTTTCCCTTCACTGCTCCGTCTGGGATTTCTCCCATAGATGAGGACTTCTTTGGGAGAATTTTTGTCCGGACCAATCAGAGAACAGAGCGTCAATTTTCTGTGCGCTGTCTGCTTGTAGTTTATTTTACCTGGGCCAATCAGCAAACAGAAGGCAGAGTTTTGAATGACGTCAATTTTCTGCACAGTGTCTGCTAGTTATTTTAGCAATGGCAGTGGAGGAAGTGAATGAAGCCAGTCCGTGTTGATAAGGCTTCCAAATTAAATTAAATTTGTCTGACAAACCAGCAGCTCTCATTTACAGTCGTTCCGTTTGGCTCAGTACTTTTCTCCTCTCAATAGGGTTGTTTACAGCGCACGTGATTTCCGGTTAGCTTCTTAGCTTAGCCTCCTTCACACATACATCGTGGCCAACTGATCCAATCATTTTAAACTTCAGCAGAGGCCAYGCCTCCAGCAAGAATCACTTCTCTATAGCTGAGAGTCCAGACCCTCGTACGAAACAAAGTGAAGCACAAGGGTCTGGTTTTTACCAGGCTACATTCGCTGCTGAGTGGAACTTGGATGATTTAGTTTGTTATTGACAACCCTAAATTGAATCTTTTAATTGGATGAGTGTGTTTTAAGACAAGCGTGATAAAGCACAACAGAGGTTGCTGAAACTGTCTGTCGGGAGCAGCTGCTGAGCTAATGCAAGTCAGGGAAGGTCAGTGCCAAAACGACAAATAAATAAATAAAGATAGAAAAAAAAAAGGACAAAAACTTCCAGATATTTGAGACGATAACCTGGCAGCTCCAGCTCTCTCATTCTGCCTGCTCTTCACTACTGCACTTGCAGAAAATCAATGCTGAGCGACTGCAACTGTATCGCCACGTTCCTCCCAATCAATAACAGTCCATCAGGAGCCCAAGGCCCTGACCTCCACTCCGGCAAGGCTGCACTGCTAATCTCAAGCCAGACCTGGGACTAGATTAGATCTAATAAGGAATACTGTATTTATGGTTCTATTTATGGGGATGGGAGAAAGCTTCCTGTTTGCTTTTGACCCAGTTTGAAGTATAATTTGCTGTAGAATTGTAGAATCACTCCGGGTTCTTTGTTGCAACAACAGCTTTTTGCTTTCAAGTTGCAGATTAGTGTCCAAAAACAAATCCACTTGAATCTGGCATCTTCTTCTTTACGTCATGATAATTCCAAAACAAACCAAGCCACAAGTTCAACTGAACAAATATTAGCTCTTAAAAGAGACATATCATGCTTTTAAATCATTCAGTGTCTATATAAAGTGTATCTGCAATGCTTTGGTCCTCGTTATTGTAGCTCCACAAGCCTCTCTTTTCTCTGTTCTGAGGTGTCT